TTTGATTTGTTTCTTAAATATGAAAAAAATATTGACAAGATTATTTAATTATTCAATTAGAAATGTGTTAAGAATATGTATGGTAAAAATTTGTTTCTTGTTTCCAGTGTTTTGTCATCAACTCCTTCCAAAACTGTCAGTGATCTTTAATTTCTATAACTTGGATAATTATAACTTTTTGAAAAAACAATTGAATTTCTTCAGTTGTTTTGCTCACTCATCCCCCCCCCCCCCCATATCAAAAATATACAAACATATACCATAAAAATGTATCATAGTTAAAACAAATAATCAAGATTTTTAATAATACTGATTTATAATTTAAACCCGACAATGGCCCATTAATTACAGTGATTTGTAATAAAATCATTTTATAACTTTCTATATACTTGCTAAGAGTTTACATTTTACATCTCCTGGTCCTAAAATGTTTTTCCAGCTTACTAGTATTAGTAAAAGTAAAAATGTATGTCAGCAGAAGATTTCTTTCTTCAATTGTTTTTACAATGTTCAGAAAGTAAATCTTGGCCTATATAGAAGAGAAACTTCTTTTTAGAAAACAGCTAAATGCAATGCCAAGAGCAAAAACAACAAGTTTTGAGCATCAAAATGACAAAAGAACACCCAACTGTGGACTAGAACTGATATAAAATTATGTGCAGAAAAAACAGGGGTTCAACGTCATTCTATTCCATGAGCAAAAATCATGACTAGCCCAGGGTTAAGAAGCATATCTGCATTCATGTGGCTGTTATCACATGTCATTACAACAACAGCCTGTTTTCCAGGGATTCGTTTACAGACGTAGTTTTCGTATTGTCTACGATTTGTCTGTCGTGTCTCCAAGGTACTGAGCCCTGGGGGCCACCTCCGCTCATGAGCATTTTCCATAAGGTCATTGATTATATGTGGTGGACAGCCACTTTCACTTAGTGCCCTCTTCACCATCGCCTGCAACACAATATCGGGTGTTGATATCATTCCTCCCCACCGTGTAACTCTAGCTCTCTGGAGAGAGCTGGACCATCTGAAATAAAGAACATTACTTAGAGTTAAAAAAATACAGTCCTAACATAAATTTGAAAAAATTCTAAAACAAAAAATGTTATAAAGGATTTATGTAACGGCTTTATTCATAACATAGCAAATATATAAATAAAACACTGTTTAAGTCCAAGTGATAAAAAACATGATTAATTCCAGGCAATTTAAGAGAAACAAAATAACAATCACACACACAAGCTGCCAGCCTACTCAAGTAGTCAATACGTTTTACTTTCTAAAACAAGACAAAATAAAATAAACTTAGATTATTGTAGCACAAGAATTACTATTACTTAAAAAACAAAATGAAAAAAAACATGAAAAGCCTGATGTTTGCTACACCCACCGAGAGATCTCATCAAGTCCAATAGATTCCATAAGACTTGGGACAGAAGGACTGGATAACCTGAAGGAATGTATATGTTCCTAAAAGGAATAAAAAAAAAGCTTAAGTGACACTGTTATAAGTGCTCATAGAATAAATGACTTGTAAGAGAGAACAAAATGTCTAAGAGTGTTTAGTAGAACTGATAATAGTAAAAAAATAAGGTTTACTAGAACATGTCAAAAATAGAAAAACCAACTTCTGAGTGATTTTTCTCTGTAATTGTATTTTCCATTAAATTTTAAGTTTGGTTTAACTGTTGTTAAGCACAAACCCACATAATGGGCCATCTATTCTTTTCTCACCACAAGTACTGAAAACCAATTTTTAGTGTTGTAGGCCTGAGACTGGGGGGATTTTTCTTTGTTTTTAATTAAGCTATCTTAGCTTTGCCCACCACGGGTATCAAGACCCAACTTCTAGCATTGTAAGTATGCAGACAAACTGCTGTGCCACTGGGGGGCTAAATTTTAAGATTAATTATTTTCTAACAGCTAAATATATTCCAAACAAACTGTCTTTCTGACCACCCTGAATTGGGCGTGATCATTTACAGATTAGGTATATGGGAGTTATAGTTCATTACACTAACAGATCATTGTTTCATGAAATAAATGGTGTTTATTCATCTTATCAAAGAAGCATTGTGAAGTATACTTACTGCATAATTAAAGTTAGAGCACAATGTTTTCTTTATTTAACTCTAAAACATTCAAGATAGTTTTGTGAACAGTAAATATCTGTGACTTAAGGCAAGTAGGGTAATAAAGATAAATTAAAGCCTAACTATGACATCACTTTACAGTAGAGATCACTGCCCAGGTAGATAGGAATTATAATATGTAAACAAATTACTGAATTAATGTCAGTATTAATTAAACTATGGATGTTAATGCAGTAACAAGCGTACATATTACACTTTCAATTTATGTCAACAATGACAATGTTTGTAATTAATTTTAAAAAACTAATTAAAAAACAGTCTTATAACAAATATATTATTTGCATACTCATCTATACGTATTGTTTTTGTAAATATGTATACAAGATTTCCATTTTAATTACAGTAAAATAAAAAATACCAGCTATATCAAGTAAGTATGGACTGTTCTTTGCCAACATTTTGACTCCACATCTGCAACCTCTTATTGTAGAACAGTTATACGTGAGAATGCTAACTACCCTAGTCCACAGTAGTCCAACAGTCTGTAAGATGCTATTGATATCTTGATGGATATTGAGAGCTTTGTTTTGCAAAAGCCAGATGAATGGTTACTACCTTCCCCTCCATTGTATCATATACACAAGCCTGAATTTATGATCTTATTCACTGAAAAGTTAGTGGCTTCATCTACATGTTTTGTAAAGTGCTACCTAACTGTTTATAAAGTGTTTGCATATGATTTACACTTCCTTGACATATTAGATCAATTAGATCAGTAATCATGACAGTGTTCACTAACAAACACACATTAGTAACTTGAGATCTGGCTCATGATTTGTTATGCTTATCCTCCAAGTAGTTGGCACGACACCTGTAAAGGCTTGGTTACATAAAGGTGCTTAGAATAGTTTGATATGCTGTTTATCTTCCCTATGGTCATTATGAAGGACCCTTTTGCCATTGATTAAATAATTCAAACAGCTATTACAAACAATATAAAAACACTGTCCAGGAATATCAGTTTTCTGTAACAACTATGCATATGAGCCATTTTGAAGAGTCTATTTCTTTACACCACTGCCAATACCATTTATTTTTAACACAATTATCAATGAGTGTTGTGTCATCTCCACATTTCAAGAAAACCATCATACAGTCAACGATAATGTGAGTTACAAAAAATAGGGCAATAGAGTTGACAGAAATGATGATTGCCATTTAGGGGCACATTATAAAACCAAGAACAAAATGCAGTTTGTACATTTAGTAATACAATAAACTCCCACCTCCTGCAAATAGTTGGCAAAACTAAGCAGCATGGTTTACACATACTATGTTCTGAAATAAATGCAGGGGAACACAATTTTCCCTCACTTTGTTCATCCCTTTTTCAAACTTTTTGATTTTATAGGTACATGAACTAGTATAGAATGTGAGATCATTCTGTTTTTTCCAATATTTTGAGGTTTCAAAACAACAGTAGACACGCTGCAATTTGAAACTGTTGCACTTCCATAAATTTCAGGGCAAACTTCTTTTAAGTCCTATAGTACATTTAATCAAGTTATAGAATTAAAAAATAGCCTTTCTCTTTCAATAAATTTATAAAAATATTATTAATGAAATATGAGTACTCTGAGGTTACTTTTGTTAATGGAATGTAAAAAAAATTAACTTAAAAATTTAATTTTGTAAAAAAACATAATAGTTTTATTTATTTTTATTTAATGCCAAGTAAAATGATGCCTTCATAATAAGCAGAACATGAAGCAATATGAAGTTAAATTAAAAATAAAAATATCAATATTTATCAAATACTTTTCTATTCTGTTTCTGCAGTAAAAAAATGTAATTTAAAAAATAGTAATATTTACATGCACACTAGTATACTAGATGTAGGATATTTGTAAAGTGATGGCAACTTGAAGGGAATGGACTCTCTTGAATTGATTTCTTATCAATTACTCTTTTAGTGATTCTTATCCCAGTAGTGATTTATAATAAAATAAATACACTTTTTGACTGAGCTAAATGAAGTGTGATTCTAACTATCTAGAAAGATTACAGATCAGTCACTCATTTCCTCAGTACACTAACAGAGTATATCCAGTTTAACAAATTACAAATGCATTAGTCTCTTCCTGAGAAAGTTCAACAAAGCCTGATAGAATAATAAATAATTATATACTTTCTTTTTACTCTGCCACCTACTTGAATCAAGACATTTTCCCTAACTAAACACATCTACACTAACAGTAGCATGATAGACCATATGTATCCAGAAGAAACTGCAGCTTCCAGACAGCATTAAAAAACATAAGCATAATTTACAATAACCATTTACCTTGCTGACAGAACCTTTCACTATATATTAAACATATCATTAATACTTCAGCTTACAACAAAACCATACAAGGACACTTTTATGAAAAACAATCTAAAAATATGTCATACCAAAGCCTCAATATCTGCAGCTACTGAACAGACTAAAATACTTTGAGACTGAAAAATCCAATGACAATGTGTCACTGAATTAAAAGGTTTAAAAGAAACACAATATATATATATAAGTAAATTTAGATATAACATCTAAAATTAACTTGAGTTAACTTCCAACTATTTTCACTTAAAAAATAATTTGCTTTAAAGTTGACCCGACAGAAATTGCCATATTTTGGTGTCAGTGTTAACAAAAGAGTCCTACAGACCAATTTCTCATATAAAAGTTTGCATATGTTTAAAGCCCAAATTCTGGCTTCAAGAAATACGAGACTTCAAAAACGTCATAAAACCTAATTTTGATGTTGATGAAAAGTCTTCCCAAAGGAAAGCTATCTTTAATCAATCATTCCATTTTCGCCTTGATTCGCATTATAAAAACAGTATTTAAAAAGTTCATGACATCTAGAACACACTGCACATTTAGTAGAAACAATAAGTATTCTTCAGTTATTTCTTATGACTATTGTTGGTTGAGGTTTGATTAATCATATCTAAGTCTTTCAATCATTGAATGACCTAAGAAAATGAAACTGGTTACAATGAGAACAAATTAACTTATTCTTACTATCACATTCAACTTTGTAGTTTTCTTGTCCCATTTTGATTGGATTCTCAAATTTCTAGACAATTTCTCTTTATGATAACTTTAACTTCACCATGACTGCATTCACACAAACATTACACCTTCCAACTAGGATAAACATGACTTTCAAATATTATCTCAGTATATATTTGTGAGATAGCAACTTCTATTTTTTTTTATGGTTCATAGTTGTGTTTACCATTAATTTATTATTTCTTTCTATCATTTAGTTTATCTATGAATTTTTAGTTGCATTCAAATGCTAACAAACTTTCTAGCTAATCACTTGTATTTTGAGTAAATATGTATGATGAAATTGACAACAACTTCCCTAGATAATATTAATGTAACAGAAGATTATGTAAATTTATGATCATATGAGGTGTACTCTCATGACCTAATTAGTGAATAAATACCCTGCCAGAAGTTTAATCAAGAATGTGAGTCACAAGATAGTTAGAGAAAGATACAGTTAGTGAATTATTGCTGTTTATCACATGATACTGTTACTAACATTGAAAGGTGTTTTTGTGTTGCTGCATTTTATTGGAATTAGGTTTTTTCTTTTTGGTTCTTTTTCCTGATTTCATTATTTATTAACTGTGTTTTGGTAAGTGTTTAATTTATTTCAATGTGTTGTTATTAATCAATAAATTGCTTTTTTGTTGTTGAACCCCTTATTGTAGCAGCATGTTCATTTTAGACTGTTATATATTGACTACTTTAGAAATAGTCACGTCTTCTATAGAAAAATTACTTTGTAAAAGACAGTGAGCTTTCACCAAAATCTTCACAGAAATGAGAGGAAGAACTAATTTGCAATGAGCACAAAAGTTGTATTGTTTGGAAGCTCTAATACCAAATTATTGTTGAAAGTGCAATTTTGATACTTTTTATAATTTGTTGGATATTGTGTTACTGTTTTTGAATTGTTCATAAAGCTACTCGGGATATTTGCAATAGCCATATCTAATTTTAATGTGATAGATGAGTGAAGGCAGGTAGTCAACACCACTAACTCATGAGCTACTCTAATTGAACAGCAAGGATTTACCATCACTCTTATAACACACACTCATGGCCCAAAAGTTACGATTTCCTTTTTTATTTTACAGTAATAGTGTGTTAAGTACAGAACTTATTCTAAACACTGGACCATACTCAGCCATATATGTTGTGATGAACAAAACAACCATTAATTTCTATACATTGAACTCCAAATTTTTAGGATAAATTAACAAATACAAAGCTAACTGAAGATATGTTGGCTAATAAAAAATTTACTTCAACAATGTTTTATTTTACAGGGTCACATACTTTGGAAATTGGTCCAATTTTCAGCATTAATATACATCTAGATTTACTTTTGGAATTTTACTTTTTGGAAGATTGTATTTTTCCCTCAACAGCAAACAACAATAAAAATCTAAAGTGTTGATTACATTAGTAAAAACAGTTCAATTTGAGAAACAGTTACCAATCAAATCAAGAAATATTCAATAAAATCCTAACAGTTTAACATCCTATGAATTCTATATGCTCTAAATGTTTTTTCCAAGAATCTGGTAAACAAATTCATGGTTGTAGAAATTCATAGAGTTAAGAACAAATCACACCTTGAGCATGTTAATCTCTCGTTTTTGTTCACTTAGCTCCTGTTGAAACTGTTTCATTTTCTGTTGTTGACTTTCCACCAAAGCTCGAAGTTCTTTGATACAGTTGTGATCCTAAATCAACAGTATAAAAAAATGCACTACCTGTAATCTAACAATATAACTAAGTGCATTATTTACATATACATAAAACTACTATTAATTATTTAGTGCATGACTAATAAGCACATTACGGTATAAAGTGTTTCAAAGTAATTTTTCACACAATTAGAAGACTCAGAACTTGAATTTCAAAACACTTTCTTAGAATAGCTTAGAATATCTGTTTAACTTAACCCACCTGCTACCAAATTATGTGCTACTGATTAAGAAATGAACTGACAAAAATAATAATCATAAAAACATCTCCCATAAAAACAGCTAATTCTTATAACAAGATGTCAAAGTATTTTTTACAAAACAAGATTAATAGTCATTTATTTTATGAAAAAAATATTGGGAAATATTTATGATTAGTATTTTAAAGTATCATATGATAAATGACTGAGTATAATTTCAAGTTATATCTTTAATCCTTTTTTCAACTGTTTTCTCTGGAGTATGTGAGCATATCATGCATTTCCTACCCCTTAGCTTTTAGACAATTTTTCAAACCTTCAGATAAAAAGAGCAAGATCAGTACAAGACTACAAAAATGACACTCAAACTAAAGAGCTTAAATGAACTTAAGAACAATCAAGTGTAAGAGTGCAAATTTATGAAGATGAATTATTAGATGAAACTCATTAAAATCAACTTTGAGTATTTTCTGTTACATCCACTGATATTAAATGCTTTTTTTTCTTTATCATTTAAAAGTTTAGATGTATTGTTTTTGTTTCTGGTTAGCATATTTTTCTATCCTCCTAAACATACCTTAAGCTCATCCATGGGAACAACTAATCCACATCCTTGTTCACATTGTACGGGCCTTCTTGGGTTATGCTCGCATCCTTCTAGATGTGATGAAAGTCTATCAAGCTTCACCACTGCAGCACACCCAAAGGTAGAGTTATCACAGGAAATAAGGAGTCGAGACAAAAGATTACGAAGAATACGAGGCACAGACTTGAGCTGTAGTGGTGTAATAGGAGTTCGATCAACGGGGCATGTCTGTTGCCGAGTAAGCCACTCATGGATACAGATTCGACAGAAAGCATGTTCACACTGAGGTGCCTAGCAAGTGAAAATAGCAAAACACAAATTAATACATAAAGAAATAATGTGCCTCTTAATATTAATTATGCCAATGAAATTAAATGGTCATTTTTTTTTCAGCCTACATAACAACAATGTGTTAATACTTTTGAAATAACACAAATTATTTTTCTTAGACCTTTACATAGATATTTTGTACATAAAGTTTATAAATAAATAGATAAATTTACAAAATATCTACCTGTTTGAACTTTTCATTTTTAATTAATAAATCTGCAAGTTTTAACAATCCTGTAATTTTTTATCTTGACATCTCAATAATATAAATAACCAATTTGTGTATCATGTTAAAAAGGCTAGAAACAGTATAGTTTGAAAGGAATAGTGGTTCTCCTATGATTATATGTCAGGTCTGAAAGTATCATAGAACACTAGAAATATATCTTCATACTTAATATACATCAACTGAAAGTAAAATTGTTATATTCTCATTACAGTATTTCAAGTTATTGAATCATATTATAAACAGTTATGTTTAGTAAACAAGATGTTGTCTAAAGAAATTACCCTCTCACTTGTTAAGTTGCATACACTACTTATATTTACTGTGATAGGCTTACATTATTACAGGCACTGCACATTGACCAACTGTTCAACCCTAATTTTATTGCCAACCATTCTATTACATAAATGAATAAACAAGAACACATTAATTTAAAATATTGTAAAATTCCACTCAAACTTGGTTATTTGCAATGAGGTGTCGACGACACATGAGCTTGCACAACAACAGCTAGGGAAGGCAATGCAGTGACAGAAGAAGTAGCGTTATGACCAGATGGTGAAGGTGAGACATTCCAACACATTGACTGGGTATGTTTGTGATATGTGTCACCAACAGGAAGACTGGTCTGTACCTGATGCTCTGATGAGTTGGTTCCCTAATGTACGAGATACAGCATAAGCAAGGCATGCAAAAGCACATGAAGCATATTGAAAAACTGCATCCATATTTTGGGGGGGGGCGGTGACCAAGAAGTCAGAGGAAGATGAGGATGCTGCCTCAAGTCACCACGACCCACTTGAAAGTGGAAAGGAGGCAGCAGACACCTACCAGGTAGTCTTTGAAGAGGTAGATGACGAGTTGGTGAAAATAGAAGCTGTTGCCAGTTCCAATTGGCAGTTGAACAGCCAATGTCAGCCTCTTGACAGATCAATCTTAGCAGCTAGGACAGTCAGGTAGTCGAAAGATTGCTGACTGAAAAGGTGTAATGATTTTTGCTTTCTGAGCCCCAGGTAGTAATGTGAAATACCGTGCAGATATTATACTGTATGGTTGCTGCTTGACCTTTACAGATAGGACATTCAAGTAGTTGGATGACTATTGATCAAAAAGGGTGTCATGAACTCTTGCTTTCCAAGTCACAGTGGGTTTCTGATGTGAAACATTGACCAAGGTTCCAAGAACATCACTCCAAGGATCTAGTGAAGCAGTGAGGACTCTGTAATGTAAAACTCAATGTCAACTGGATCTAACCTTGATCTTTGTGGGAGATACTCCAGATCTAGTAAACAAGAAACTCAGCCTTCTCTGAGTGTGATGGTGATTGATTATGGTAGGTACCGTGACAAATTTTAATCTTGGTAAATAGACTTTTAATTCAAAAGCCTCTTTTTTCTTTTCACCAATGATTATTTCATGAAGCCTGAAACAAAAATGAGTAGAATTTGATGGTGCATAGATGTCACAACCATGGGTAGCTTCAGCAGGAAGCATGTAAGGTACCAAAGTTGGTCATGCAGCTCCTGGAGGCAAGCATTAGTAACTACTAGAGTACTTGACAAAGAGTAATGGTGGCATACATACATGCAAATGTGTGTGTAGTAGCATGTGCATGCATGAAACATTACATGAAGTCCTTCATAAATGTTCTAAGCAAACTAAAACAAATGAAGCAACCACACACAAAGAATAAAAATAAAATGATAAGAAAGAGAAATGAAGGAAAAAAAAAGAGAAATAAGAGAAAACATGTAAACAAAGAACTTGATCCCGATGTTAAGAATTCATAAGTAAGAAGTTGACTGTTTTGAATTAATCTGCAAGGTATTAACGGAAAATACAGTGCACCTCTGATTTTCATTAATGCCAGGAGAATATTTCAATTTCGAAATTGAGACATTTGACAGGTTTGTGAATATTTTGTGGAAAAGACAATGGAAACAGAGGATCCCACAAAGCCATGAGAGAGTAAACACAGTTTAACTGGAGTTTTCAAGAACACAGTTTACTGTGGTTCTGACACAGTTTTATATGATGTTTCTCTGAGCACAGTTTAAGGATATTCTAAATTCAATTTGACTGAAATGCCATTCATCAAGGAGTGTCCATGTCCAGGAGTCAGGCGCCCAGGAAGATCTTATGCCACCATTGTAAATGTGCAACTTCCTTCAATGAGTCATCAGGACCATTCTCAGAGAACTGTGAGGGTACAGTTCCCAGAAAAGCTGCCAAAAATTATTTAACACTGCCCAACTGCTGGAGTAGGTTACGTTGCTAAAAAAAGAACTGCCATGAGATGCCCACAGAATGGACAGAATGGAGAATTTACTGAGGTGGAGGGTAACTGGTATAAGAAGGAGTTGTGATGCTTCCAGGCTAAGCTTTAGAACACCAAAAATGCCAAAGAAATGAGAATTGGCCAATCACAAAATAACATTGACCCTGGAGAGTCTGCAAGTGAAGATGTGGTCAGTGGAAGTACAGTGTCAAACAATCTCAAAGAAGGACCTAATAAAGTGTGTATATATATATATTTCCTGTTTTCCTTATTTCCTAATGATGATGTCCTTGCTCTTACATGCACGTAAGCGTGTATGTAAAAGCAGGGAATTTTTTGTGTTTTCCTGACATGTATGTGAAAGTAAAATAAGATTGCAATGTTTCCTTATGCACATCCACGAGTGTACATGCTTGCAAGGGTTGAAAGATTTGTTAATTTAGTAACTTTTTTACATTTTGTGAAAGGATTAATTCTCTGATTTTTTCCTTCATGATTTTACATGTTAAAGTGTTAGTTTCAATTTTAATTTTGGTGTTTATTTTTTTATTTTCATTCTGTGTTATGAAACAATTTTGATTTCTGTTCATGTAACAAACAAATTTAATCTTACTGTTTTCTTTAGTATTTTGAGTTTAGATTTTTAATGGCAGCATTTAAAAAGCCTTAGTTCTTTTTTTAGTTTTGCGTTAGACTGCCTTCTTTTAAAATGGGTGGGATATCTCTGCATTTTGGTTATTTCTTCCTTTATTTTTTATCTTTTACTTTCTGTGATTGTACATACATGCCTACACTTTATCAATTCATTGTTAAAGGGTAACATTATGCTATGTGATATTTTATTTTGGTATTGAGAATTTAAACTTACTTTTTTTTTATTTACTTTTGAACCCGAGTTGAAATTTTCAGTTACCTTAAATTTTGCTAACTGAATTATGGCTGAAAGAATTTTCTTATAGTAGAATTTAATACTGTTAAGGACAAGAAATCATGCTTTCAATTTCACTCAAAACCTTCTTTCACTAAAGTTTTAGGTATTTTTTATTTCATTGTTAAAGGGTTATTTTTTATTATGTACTGACTGTAATTCATTGTTAAAGAGTTCTTGTGTTGTCTGTGTGATGTGAAAGTGATTTTAGGAATAAAGTTAAAGTACTTCTGGATCATGTTGTGAGCTTAAAGGATAATTGGTGTCAAAATTAACTTTAATTGTCAGCATGAGGACAGACCTGAGAGAGAGATAAGGAAGGAATCTGAGGTACATGCATATAATTGGCTACCTACCTTTTCTAGTAACACAGAATTTCTTTAAACTATTGATTATTCAGTTTCCACACTGTCAGTAGCAACATGTGGTCGAGGGATGCTAACACTATCTTGTTCTAGCTGCTTTACCCTTTGTACTCTTGGTAGGTGATATTTTCTGCATGCAGGGATATTTCAATGATGTATATTAACCCGGGGTTAAATAATTTGAAACTGAAATATATTTTGCTGGCTGATTATGACATTGACTAAAAACAAAAATAGGATACTAGGTGACACAGTCCACTGGAAACATGGGTCACAAGGTGGCACAGCCCACTGGAAACAGAAAGCAGATTAACATTGTGAATTCAAGTATGTTTTCTTAGCCCAGTTTTCCCCTTGATGATCTACAAGAAGGAACTACTTTTTTCTTACTGGAAGATTTTCAGTGTTTGGTGTTGTAGCATTCAATCTTGAGAGAGTGAAAGCTACAAGTCTGAACACTCGCTAGAGAGGAGAATGGACTATCCACTGCCAGTGTGTGTACATGCCTGTTTTTCTGTTTACTGTTAAAATAAAGATTTTGCTCATTCATTCAAAAAGTGTACAGATTCATTACTGTTCCTCCAAGGAGAGAAACACAGTCACATTATCTCACACAAAAAATCCTTGTAAATTTCTGGTCAAACTCTGGAATTATTATGGAACATTCTATCTCACGGTTGTCAAGAAATTAGTTTTAAATGAAAATACCAAATTACATATAAGATAAAAACAAATAAAACCAGTGTACAAACTCCAATGTGAAATGGTAAAATGCACTCCAGTAAGACAAGGTATTTACAACAGGAAATAACATAACATTGGGATACATCATCTATTTTATATACCAACATTGGGATACATCATCTATTTTATATACTAACATACATCCAGCTGGGAACTAATTTCATTCAATATGTTCTATCAGTGTAATATAAAAGTTTCTAAAATCATGCAACATATCTGTCCTCAATCTAAAATTCGCACCCAAAACACCACTTGTCACGTAAACCCGTATCTAATTTATTAAGTTATAAGAGTGGCCTAGGAATACCTCATATGTCCAAAGCTGTTTTTCATAGCTGCTATTTTACTGCTACAGGTACTTCTCATCATAAGGTACTTAAACCACTTTGTAATCCACCACTTTTATTATAAAATTTCAGTAAGTACACAATGAATGTCTTATGTTTATACATCAACCAGAATTTGTGGGTTTACTATTACAAATCAGTAACTTGAAAGATAAGAAAAAATTCATTTTCTCAGAGATTCTTACAAAAAAATCACCTCATTATGCTACAATTTTGTTAGATATTGTGAATGGTCCAGAATGTGAAAAATTGTAAGTTCATTGATAAGAAGTGTTAAGTAATGCACTTGCAGAATAGAATTTTTTGAAACGGTTTCTGGTGTGATAAATGCATTACTTCACTGAGAAAGAGAATGGCTTAGGGGTGACATCATGGAAAATAGCTTAAAACGTTCAGTTGAATTTTTATCTGTAGTAGAAAGATCAAATACAGTTCTATGATCTATTTTTGAGGATTTTAAGATTTTAACATACATTAATCTATGAACAACAAGGAACCATTTGGTCATTCAATGCTGTCCATAGACACCCATTCTGCAGAAAAGTAAAAATTTAAACCTAAACTTTATTTTTTGGGAAAATTTCCCTTTTAAACTCCCATGCTGTATAGTGCTGGCCCCCAGTAATGCCAAAGGCAACTTATTCCATAATTCCATCATGATGGTGAGACATCATTTGGTCCTTCTGCTGCAAGAAGAATATCAACATGATGGTAAGTGTAGAGATGTGCTCCATGGTTTTAAAAATTTGAATTATAAGCAAAAGTATTTTTTTTAGATTTGTAATTGTTTTCTCTGGAACCTAGAAGAACTAAAACAGATTTGATTCTTTTGCAAATTTGTTATGGATTTGAATAAGCTGGCTATCCATGATATATCTGGTGGTGTCATAAAGAGTTTGTAGTACAAATAATAAAGTTCAAGCTCTGAGAGACTAGATTCAGGTATTAGATTTTTCTTTACTAGTTATAAACTTGTGAAGTCATTTTAATTGATGATTTAGTGTGTACTGTTAGTTTCAATTTATCAGATGTTTATTTGATGACATATATATATATATCATATTGTCCAAATTATAAGGCAATGTTTTTTGATAAATAAATAGGATGTAAAATTCATAGTCACCTTATAATCGCAGCTGACCACAGGCCCCTTCCCCCTACTCTAGCCTGTCACATTCCTAATTGTCCAGCATACCTCTATGAAAGCACACCAGATATTCACTCAAGGTCATGGCTAATTCTTGCAACTAATCCACCTGTAGACTGTTCAGTTATAGTATTGATTTAGTGGGCCTAAAAAAGGACATTATGACAGTCAATTTTTTTAAATTTCCCATGGTTTCTGAAAATGGGGGTCGCCTTGTATTCAAGATCGCCCTATAATCGGGCCAATATGGTGTGTGTATATATATATATATATATTGCACACACAAAAAAGTGTATATCTAGTTTGTTCTTCATTCTTTAGTTCCTTTTGATGTGAGTGGGTATGACTTCAATCAATTCAATAGTCTTTTGTCTATTTATGCTCATTGAAAAGATGTCTTAACCGCATGTGCACAGGGTCAGTCCAATGAATAGACCTTGTATTGGAGAAGGACTGTTTACTATAATTCCAAATTTACTGTGTGCATTTAAATGAAATGTGGCAAGATTTTTGTAAAATGTACAAGTATGTTGTACGCAAAAAACTTAGATGTGTTACAAAAGTATCTATACTCGAGATATGTCTGCAAACTGATGATGTCAGTCAGACTCAGACTCTGACAAGTCGGATTGCAAAGTTTACGTGTAGAATAGAAATACTTTTGTCTATCATACAGTTTGCATATTGAACTTGCATGACCTCTGAAATGCAAATGTACAGTTTCAACATCCCTGTATACTGTATCTGGTATTTACTCTCCTCTACTACAAACTGTCCCTAAATCAGCAATGTAGAGTAAAATGAATAGCTGATAATTCTGAAATCAAATATATAATACCATGTTGAGCAGCCCTTTGTAAAACATCATGGCATATGCTTTTTTAACCTATACATGCACATAGGGTTAATGTGGAGCACTTACTTAATATTTCAATATACATGGGATAATAAAGGGTATTTGGACCATCTAGACTATCAAATTTCAAGCTACCACCTTGGTCCAAAAAGTAACACTAATTTAAATGAGTTATTTCTCAGTTTCCATATCTTTCTTCCTTTGTGTGTGTGTGTGTGTCCTTACTACTTGCAGTTTTTAAATTAAAACATCATATGGAGTTATAGATTTCAAAACTCAATAACAATCCTAAAAACCTAAATTCTTGTAATATTAACTTTGTTAACAGTAAAAGAGACTTTCTGTTAGAAAATGAGGCTTACATTCAGCCACATGTTTGGTATATAGAAATACAAGAATTACCGAGTGTCACCGAGTGTAATAATAATAATATATACCTGACAAGAATAAAACTTTACCTTTAAATTGATTTTTATACAATTTGCGAAGAATGTATACTCTCTAATAGAAAATCACCACAGTATATTTCTTATTTTTTGGAACATTCAGTATTACCTGTAATGGTTCCTCAAGAACTCCAGAACAGATGGGGCAAATAAGTTCTTCATCTACCTCCCCATGAAATCGCCTAAGGTCATAACCCATGTCTTTTAGTCACTTTTAAACTAAAAGGGTATAAAAAAATAAGACTTGTTCTTTTCAATCTATTTTACATTACTGTTGATTAAATAAGATTAAAACAAAGTTCAGGTTTGCTGTATTTACATATCTCAACTACATTTTATCATCTATAAAAAAAAAACTTATTCACTCCATGATGTATGGTGCATGCTGTACATTGTAATAATACTTTTTATAAATGACATCAATAATACAGTGATTGTACATATATATCTGGCTTCTTTTCTTTGTTAATGTCATGGAATTTTTTTTCTTTCCAACAACTTCAGGTAAATACTTTGTGTCAAACATATTGAAACTCCTGAATTTAAAATGTTAATTTTATTTAAAATTATGATTTAAAACTTTTTTTTTTAGATGTGTATTATATCAGGTACACTAGGTACAATTTTAAACTTAAACCATTCTTTCAGAATGCATACCCTGCTTCCAAAAAATAAAGTAAACCAAATGCCCTAGATTCTCAAGTTTTGTTCCAAACACACACAAAAAATTCAAAATTCAAAAGTATTATTAAAAAGTGTAAAGCACTAGCTAACATCTGTAGATCATTTCAATACTTTATTAAAAAGCAAATCATTCATAGCTTACTTCTAATGGAGAATCTGTCTTGGTAGTAATCTTCACAACACCATATTCATATATACTGAAATGTTGCCCAGACTAGAACTATATAGCAATGAAGACAGAGTTAAAGAAAACAAAAGCATGATATCAGAGGTGAACTGATATTCGCATATGGCAAAGGAGTTTGCTCCTATATGTAATTTACAACATAGTTTACTAAATAAAAATACATGCAACCTTGTTATTGACCAATCATGTGAGTTACACAGTCAGACAACATTTCCCAATAGGTTTAATAATGATCAATGCCAAAGCTGCTAAATAACTTCTCATGATCTTCTTGCTTATAACAATACAAGAACTAATGTCATTAGATCATTTATATGGATCATTTGAAGAAACTGTTACAATTATTTAGAATCTGTAAGTTGTGACCTGTCCATTTCTGACAGTATGATGAAAGGCATACAGGTTGGATAAAAAAAAACAGATCAAATAAGTCCTAGTACTGAATATCAGCACTAAAATAAGTCCTGATACTAAGTACCAATGATTATACGAAAACTTTCACCCCTGCATGATATACACTATAATTTATAAAATAAAGTACAGGTAGGTTGATTAAATAACATTACACATACAATAAAAATTTAACATGCTGAGAGAGTGTACTACACATTCTTATATACACTATACAGTCAGTGCTACAGTAAAATTTACAAACACTGATGAAACAGTAAATTCCAAACATTTTAGAACACAAAATACTGTAAAGCTATGTCTTAAAAAATATAATGTTTTAAACACTGGTTTAATATACTTCAGATCAATTTTTTAAATTATGATGCCTGAGTTAGAAAAGAGAACAACAACATATTCAAGAGTGACTTCAGAATTAACTAACACTAGTAACACTAACAGAGGCCAAAAACGGCTTAACTACAATTTACAAATATATACAAAATTACCCATCCTTGTTTTGGGCACGTTGAATTTAGTATGTTAGCAGTTCAATTATAACAAGCTATATTCTAACTTATTTAAATTATATTATTCAATTTCCGAATTTTTGATTTAAAGATTAACTTTCAAATTCAAGTTTCATTTTAATATCTACAATTTGAAACAATGAAAATAATTTATTTACTTACAAAAGAGATCTAATCCAAGCTTTATGGGATGTTGTTTATTTTTTTGTTTTTGTTTTTTTTTTATTTTTTTAGGAAAAAAAATTGTGACGTTCAGTTTGGAAGTCTACATAACAATATATCTCTCCCAGCGGCCTTTTTTCATATAATTTTTTTATGGATTATCCCGCACAGTTTTGGTAAAGACTTAAGTGTCGACGACCGTATAGTTGTACGACTACAATCTGCCCTAAACAAGACAAGCTCTCCCTCTGGAAATAAAAACTTAAAATTTTATAATAAAACAAAGGGATTTTGTAATATTTTCGTAGTGTTGCATCACAGTAATATTGATAATAATTTAAATCACATAATTCTTTATTTTTTGCAACGAGATTTATTTCACTTCGCGGCAAAATGCGTAAATAACCCCCTATTTTTGTTGTGAGTTTTAGAGTATGTTTATAATTTAATAATTATAGGTAATGATTGATACATATATGTATACTGAAATTTCAGAAAAATATATAATTACTATAAAGGTGTTTTTAACTGTAGAGTGGATAAAGCAAACAAACAACAACAAAAAATTGAAACAAAAACAGCTTACAATTGGTAAGAAGTAAACATAACCAATGTTGATATGTGATTTTAAATAACAGCATTGCACAATTTCAATGTTTTTAGTTGTTGTTGTTTTTTTGTTAGTTTTTTCAAACCATTTGTTATCCACCAGGCAGAATACAAGAAAATAACTGCTTGGTATACAGTAATAAAGTACTATTAAAAGCCACGATGAATAAAAAAAAACAAATATGACATTACAGCAATTTGGGATATTGCATCAGAAAAATTATTTTAAAAACTTAATCTTTTCCTTATGATTTGTCTGAATTTTTTTAAAAAGTTCTGTTACTTAACGTATAAAGCTGTTAGTTGACTAGTTCTCTCTTTACGATATATGATGGTTTTAGTCACGCTAAAAAATAATATACTGTTACGTCTCTGGTCGTTTTTTAATTTCCCGTAAAAATTCTTTCCGAAGAACTTCAGCTGTACAAATCCTTTCTTAAATAAAACTAGTTTATTCTTTCTAAATACGACTTTGCAATACACTTAATTTCCACTGTCACTTTAACTTAAACACACGCTATAATTCACAACGATTCACGCACTTTACTTCCGACTTGATTCGATTATCTGTCTCTATATCTCCCTATCTGCAATTATATGTCCGCTTTATTTGCCGGGCTTATATACAAAAATAGAGGGCGTCTGGCAAACACTCGAGCCTTCATCATCCTTCTAGAAACTCATCACGTGATACCAGAGTCACGTGACTTCTGCTGTCTTAACAATACAATCCTGCTGAAACATAAAATGTTTGAAGTTTTAATTGAATTTGGAAAAAAGTAACATTGTTTATTTTGTTTTCTGATATTTACGCAGAGCTACTTAAGCTAACTGTCATTAATTTTGAACTGCTACACTAGAGAGAAGGCAGATAGTCAACAAACCCATCACCAATTCTTGAGCTACTTTTATTAGATTGGATAGTTAGATATGACCATCACCTTTGTAACGCTAAAACCCAGGTTTCGATACTCGTGGTGGGAACAGCACAGATAGCTCACTGTGTAGCTTTGTGTTTAATAAACAAACAAGCCAGTAAGTTTCAAGCAGGGTATTGTAACATAAATGGGACAGATTAAAAATCACCATTACAAATCCAATTCGCATATATGTATAAATAACACTTACGTTATTTCGCAGTGCTCTACTTTAATTATAATATCCATCAAAATATGTTTCCTTACTTCGCCAGTCAGTTAGAGCTTTAAAATATCTCTATGTGTTTAAAAAAGTAGCAACATCTTCAAGGAAGTTTCTTATATAATATAATTGACGTTCGCGGTTATTATACACGATGTTAACTTACACCCCCCAGCTTTATAGTCCAAACAAGTTATTTAGCATGTCAGTGTCATGTATATGTGACAATACACAGCGTGGTCACAAGTAAATAGACACCACCTTTTCAGTCATATTCACATGAATTGGTATATTTATAATTTAATG